TTTTTCTCCACAATTTATAAAGCTAAACTTTATTTATTATAAATTAACTGACCTTGAAATTCTAACAATAACTCTTCCTCCAAAACTCTGGGCCTTATCTTATTAAGTCATCTTAATACGAAGATCCAATTTAGTTCTTTGTATGATAGACCCCTGACATTCACAAACTTAAAATTCCGAGTTTCAATTAATCATAATTACCCAAAGATCCATAACCTAAAATAATCTACCATTTTGCTGACATGAGAAGCTGAACAGCCTTCATTCCAGTACAGAAGCAATTCAGTCACCTAGTGAGTGAGGCTAGCCAATGGCCCTACATCCAATTCAGCTCTGACATTCCCTACTCGCTGTTATATAAGAGGTAATTAATACTCAGTGTCTGAAGGAACTGTGCACATTTTTCAGTTATACGTCACAACATTTTATGGGGGAAATCATATCCTATAAAAGTATTATCAAATTGGGTAACCTTATCTATCAAGAAGCCACTGTATGAACTCCACACAGAAAAAAATTCTCATGCTAGAGCATATGGAATAGGCATACGTGAGAGAAAACTGTAACAAGAGAAGGAAAGCCTTTATGGCAAGCATTTAATCTTTCAAACCTTCAAAAGGAATACACATAACCGATGGAAATATGTGCAGAAAAGGATTCATCCTGCCTGCCTTCGTGCCTCTGTTTCTATCTTCTATATGTAGACATCAAATCATGCATCTTTTGAGCTGTGATTAAAATAAATGTACCTTGTTCATAATTGCCAGCAGTTCACTAAGCACAAGACGCAATCGACGAGGTGAGTCACTGTGTTCAAACTCTAATGTCAGTCCACGCTGAAGCTGTGATACCAGGATGCTCTCTCCTGTGCCTCCTCCAAGTTTATGCCTAAAAAAGTACAAACATGTAAAACAAGTATGAGAACAGTGGCTGAGAAATAATAGCAAAAAAGTTGTCCTTTATTGAAATAACCTACAAAAGGACGTATGAATTACTATTTAGTTTATCTGTCTGTTCCAGGAACTCACAACTGATGTAGTCTCCATCACAAGTGATAGTTAACACCCACTTCCACTAACAACAGTGGGCAGGGACGAACAAAACCTCTGCCCAGAATTGTGGGGAATCCTTGTAAGCTTAAAAAACCTCCCAGGTGATTCCAATAAATCCTTCTACTCTAGGGGAACTTACTCTACCCAGTTCCCACCGACAGTAACTGGCCTCATCTGTTTAGCCTGAATATGATAGTGTATACATAGCCAAACTTCACACAACATTTTATAATACGGAATTCAAACGAATTTTAACTATAAAGAGAAAAAACTAAGTAAAATGCTCTCCAAGGTTTGGACTCTCAATCTTCTCTTTGGGGAGTGCATCCAACCAAAAGCCCAAAAAGCTCCAAGAAATATTTGATTCCTCCTCCTTTGGCAAATCCAAGTAAATCCCAATCCGCGTATCGTACATTACCTCAGCTGCTGTTCTTTGCTGGCATCCTGTTCCAAGGCATGAAAGTCCACGGACAACAGTGCAACAATGGAGTTGACAGCTTCCACTCCAGAGAGAAGGCGAAGGATGAGTTTTTTATCCTGGGCCCAGCTTTGGCTCTGGTCAGCAGGAGCACAAAGTGCCATCCTCACCAAGCAGGGCAGGAGAAGCCTCAACTCGGGATCACTTAAAGATGCCAAACGAACAACATCCACCTTCTGCATGGCCTCAAAAGCAAAAGGGCTGACAAACTGAAGGCTTGAACACTCAGTCATGATCACTGTTGATCCTAATGATTAAAAAAAAAAAAAAAAAAAAGAAGGANCTTTGGCTGCAGATTCAGTCCCAGTCGGGGCATGTGTCTCTCTCACATCAAGGTCCCCCCCCCTTTCTGAAAAGCAATGGAAAAAATATCCTCGGGTGAGGATTAAAAAAAAAAAAAAAAGACAGTAGGAGTGAAACCCACATGAATGAACACCCCTCTTTTTTAAATACCCTGAAAACTGTGGTCTGTCTTTAATAGGCCCCTATGTTAACAATGGGTTCCTGGCACAATTAAAGGCTCCCTATGTTTCCACTGCCACCTGGAAAATGAGAAAGAAAACAGTGTATTCATGTCTCCCTCTAGCCTTAGGGATTTCCTGTTGTAATACTCTTATTTTGCAAAGAAGGGATATGAAGCAGAGAGATTAAATAACAAGCCCACAGTAATATTACTAGTTGGTGGCAACGGCCAAGGCAGAATCCTCATCTCCTAAATCCCAGTCCAAGGCTTTCTCCTTTACACCTGTCCTATGAGTGCCACACACAAAATAAAAACAAATGAATGGGACAGTTAAGAACGCTCCTCTTCACATGCCTACCCGACGTATTAAAGAATGTTAGGCTTCTTTCCACCCTCCAGGAGTCGGCCTTGGTAAGTCGCCTCAGTAGCCAAAATCAGTGTCAGATTCAGAACTCTGGAGGCCTCAACACTATCCCATGTTCCCTGGGGGAAAGCAGCTGTGGGGGTGCCATTAGCTACGGGGGTCAGGTAGGTCCCACTTGGGCACTTCTCTGTCCTCAGGAGTAACCAGAGACAAGAAAAAAAGGGGGAGGTGGGGATGCCATCATGGGTAACAGTCGTGGGCAGAAACGCTGCTTTGCTTTGCAGCAAGAGGAGTTGGCCTTTTAACGGGGACGGGGTGATGGAGCTGAGATGCCCTGCGCGCCCACAGGTCTCGCCCCTGGTGCGACGAGAGCCAACCAGTCCCCGCGGCTGAGAACAGCGCGCGGGCAGCCGGCGGGGTCCAGGGACCGCGCAGAGGCCTGAGAGGCGGGAGCTTCGTACCTAAGACCTACCCTCCAGCCTCCCGGGACCCCACCCGGATTCCGCGTCGCAGAAGCGGGACGCGGTGGAAATCGAGCGCGCGGTCCGAAATGGGGCCTATAGGCGATCGTCTGGAGTCCCCGAGCCCAGCGGTGCCCTGAGTCGCCCCGGGCACCCAGAAGCCTGACGCCGGGACCAGTCGGGCCGGCAGTGCGATGGGGGCCGGATATGGGCTCCCCACAAAGGCAGAACCCGGACTGAGGAGAGCGGGAAGCGGAGGGGACTGTTTCAACCTGCGCCCAGCACCTTCATTCATCCCCGGCGTCTGGCTCCCGTCGGCCACCGTACTGGACTGAGAGGAAGAGCGGCTGCGGG